CAGGCTGAAGCGAATCCATGTTTACCTCACAGGGACAAACGACCATCTAAAGGCAAAATGTCTACCTCACAGGGACAAACGACCTTCTAAAGGCAAAATGTCTACCTCACAGGGACGAACGACCATCTAAAGACCAAATGTCTTCCTCACAGGGACGAACGACCATCTAAAGGCAAAATGTCTACCTCACAGGGACGAACGACCATCTAAAGGCAAAATGTCTACCTCACAGGGACAAACGACCATCTAAAGGCCAAATGTCTACCTCACAGGGACAAACGACCATCTAAAGGCCAAATGTCTTCCTCAAAGGGACAAACGAACATCTTAAGGCAAAATGTCTACCTCACAGGGACGAACGACCATCTAAAGGCAAAATGTCTACCTCACAGGGACAAACGACCATCTAAAGGCAAAATGTCTACCTCACAGGGACGAACGACCATCTAAAGGCAAAATGTCTTCCTCACAGGGACAAACGACCATCTAAAGACCAAATATCTTCCTCACAGGGACAAACGACCATCTAAAGGCCAAATGTCTACCTCACAGGGACAAACGACCATCTAAAGGCAAAATGTCTACCTCACAGGGACAAACGACCATCTAAAGGCAAAATGTCTACCTCACAGGGACGAACGACCATCTAAAGGCAAAATGTCTACCTCACAGGGACAAACTACCATCTAAATGCAAAATGTCTACCTCACAGGGAAAGGAACAAAAAACCAAAAAAAGGACAAAACTCTTCCTCAAAGGGACAAACGACCATCTAAAGGCAAAATGTCTTCCTCACAGGGACAAACGACCATCTAAAGGCCAAATGTCTACCTCACAGGGACGAACGACCATCTAAAGGCAAAATGTCTTCCTCACAGGGACAAACGACCATCTAAAGGCCAAATGTCTACCTCACAGGGACGAACGACCATCTAAAGGCAAAATGTCTTCCTCACAGGGACGAACGACCATCTAAAGTCCAAATTTCTTCCTCACAGGGACAAACGACCATCTAAAGGCCAAATGTCTACCTCACAGGGACGAACGACCATCTAAAGGCCAAATGTCTACCTCACAGGGACAAACGACCATCTAAAGGCAAAATGTCTTCCTCACAGGGACAAACGACCATCTAAAGGCCAAATGTCTACCTCACAGGGACGAACGACCATCTAAAGGCAAAATGTCTACCTCACAGGGACTAACGACCATCTAAAGGCAAAATGTCCTTAACGACCATCTCATCTTCCTCAAAGGGACAAACGAACATCTTAAGGCAAAATGTCTACCTCACAGGGACGAACGACCATCTAAAGGCAAAATGTCTACCTCACAGGGACAAACTACCATCTAAATGCAAAATGTCTACCTCACAGGGACAAACTACCATCAAAAGGTCAAATGTCTTCCTCAAAGGGACAAACGACCATCTAAAGGCAAAATGTCTTCCTCACAGGGACAAACGACCATCTAAAGGCCAAATGTCTACCTCACAGGGACGAACGACCATCTAAAGGCCAAATGTCTACCTCACAGGGACGAACGACCATCTAAAGGCAAAATGTCTTCCTCACAGGGACGAACGACCATCTAAAGACCAAATATCTTCCTCACAGGGACAAACGACCATCTAAAGGCCAAATGTCTACCTCACAGGGACGAACGACCATCTAAAGGCCAAATGTCTACCTCACAGGGACGAACGACCATCTAAAGGCAAAATGTCTTCCTCACAGGGACAAACGACCATCTAAATGTCTACCTCACAGGGACGAACGACCATCTAAAGACCAAATGTCTACCTCACAGGGACGAACGACCATCTAAAGACCAAATGTCTACCTCACAGGGACGAACGACCATCTAAAGGCCAAATGTCTACCTCACAGGGACGAACGACCATCTAAAGACCAAATATCTTCCTCACAGGGACAAACGACCATCTAAAGGCCAAATGTCTACCTCACAGGGACGAACGACCATCTAAAGGCCAAATGTCTTCCTCACAGGGACGAACGACCATCTAAAGGCAAAATGTCTTCCTCACAGGGACAAACGACCATCTAAAGGCCAAATGTCTACCTCACAGGGACGAACGACCATCTAAAGACCAAATGTCTACCTCACAGGGACGAACGACCATCTAAAGGCAAAATGTCTTCCTCACAGGGACGAACGACCATCTAAAGGCCAAATGTCTACCTCTAAGGGACGAACGACCATCTAAAGACCAAATGTCTACCTCACAGGGACGAACGACCATCTAAAGACCAAATGTCTACTTCACAGGGACGAACGACCATCTAAAGGCAAAATGTCTTCCTCACAGGGACGAACGACCATCTAAAGGCCAAATGTCTACCTCAAAGGGACAAACGACCATCTAAAGGTAAAACTTCAATGTCCTTAGTTCATTTCTTACACCCAACCTACCTGCGGAGGTACGGATATATTTCTTATATCTTACCTACCGCCAAGTACATTCCAAAAATCCAAAAATTGCCGACAGGGATAATAACGTTTTAAGGCGACTGGTTAAGAAAGCCATCTGGATACGCCGCAACGGGCCAATTCTAAACAGGGACGAGGGGGTCACAGACACTCCTACATCTATAAAAATGTGTTAAATAAAGCGTAGCCGTATTGACTACAGTATATTGTTACCATCTTCTATTTAGGTCTAAAATCTCGACACATTATTTTCGACCTTAGTGTATATAAGGATTATAACAGCCGCAAAAAGTAGGCCGATTCCTAACCACCTCCTACATGATGAACGCCAGTGACTGCACGCTCCACACGGGACATGGTCATCTGTCTGATGAAAGTGACCATATAGTCATCGAAATGTCACAAAAATATTTAATCGATTGTGTTACAAGAATTTCTATTGTATAAATATTGCAGTTTTACTGTTAATAGGAATGCATTCAGGTTATGACGTCATTTCAACTTATATGCAACCTATAATTGAAGATTACAAATTAACCCCCCAAAAGCTATGTATTTCTATGTCAAAGTGTTTGACTTTGATAAGTGAATAACCTTTGGAAGTCGTTCTCCTTCTGATTGCTTTGTTTTATACTTTATGGTTTTATTTTTTCACAGTTTTATCACAAAATAACTTCTTGATATTTCTCTACCCATTGCTTTTATGTCTAACAAATCCATTTATCGTGTTTTAAACGTGCACTCGATCTCTCAACTTGTCATTGTTTTGTTATCTAAAGATCCCCTCACGGCAATTATGTCATCTATTGTTAATGGTGTAGGCCACATGCTTCTTTATGCCAGAAAAAAGATTCATTTATATCCAATGTTAAAGTCACTTATATAGTCTTAAATCTCAAATATATACCTGTTTACGTGTTTATATATAGACAATGGTCATCTCCACTTTAATAATTATGTGAAAACATGATCAGTATCAGCTGAATAGGATACCAATATATTGGCCTAAAGGGATCCCAACAAATTGTTAATATTGACCTTAAGGGATCCTAACACATTGATAATATGAGTCTTAAAGGATTGTAACAAATTATTAATAAGGTCCTTGGAGAAATATCCGGAAGTTGGTTTATCAAGCAGCACAGGAACAACGCCACGAAATAGCGTCCGCTACTTCTATGATTGGACTTGATAATTTTACAAATCCCCTTACACGCTATATTTCCTTTGAAAAACCAACTTGTATGGACATCGTCATTACGCCTTGCCAACATTTTTTCATTGTAATTGAGGGCAAAAGTTTTGAAGAATACTAATCATTACTAAGTAATTTGGAATGTTTAGTTCTGTGTACACAATCTGTCTAACCATGCTACATTCAATAAACGAGGTATTTATGGAAGTTTCAGATTTTCTGTTTTTTTTTTTTTTTATTTTTCACGTTTTTATTATCTACAGTTCTTAGGAATTAATTAACTTCTACAGTAACGAACAAATAAATGAATATAAAAAAAGAATTGTCGTCTTGTGAAAATTAAACGTGCATTTCATTTCTTAAATCCATGTATTCCGATATCCACTGACCTGTCTTCTTTGAACCATGATGATATTCTAATAACATAAAGTCTTCCACACGATGGATTCATAGAAGACCTCGGACGACAGTAGAAAAATATTGTTTTTCATAATATATAAAATTTACGGAGCTTCAACCCTTTCATCTCGAAAATACATGACCAAACAGCAGATTTTTTTATACCACAAAATATCTTATTTCATTTATTGGGCCAGAAACTCTCGGGTCATACGCCTCTTTTAAAATGCAATTATCAGTCATTCTTATATGAAGACTATTCGGTGGTACTTCTCTGTTAGATATATCTAACAGTTGTGAAACAGCTTTATCAAATACATTTGCACATTCATCAAAATCAATACACTTTCAGTCAATTGTTGTAAGCCTGATCACAATTCGATCTTATCACAGTAACAGTTGTAAATTGTAAAAATAGAAGAAACAGATACCATATATCCGGACCAATTATCCGCGATAATTATTAGGCCACCGATGACTTACTGTACATAAAGATTTCGTACAAAAATCTGCCAGTCATCTAACTTACATTGATATTAAAATAAATATCAGGACGAAAGACCTCTCAAACTTTTCCTTTTTTTCCCTACGATTTTATTGAGAAGCGATTTCAGTGAAACTTTCGTGGAAACTTCGATAATTAAGTTAAAATATTGTTAGTCAGCTGCATGGGGTCTTAACCATTATTGACATTTGCCTTAAGGGATTTTAACACGTTGTTAATATAGGCCTTATCATATCGTGTTGTATCTTAAAGCATTATCTATATGGGCTGTGTGATATCCTAAAATAGTGACTTGAGCTGTATGAGATCCTAAATTGTTATTGACATGAGCTGTATGAGATCCTAAATTGTTGTTGACATGAGCTGTATGAGATCCTAAATTGTTATTGACATGAGCTGTATGAGATCCTAAATTGTTGTTGACATGAGCTGTATGGAATCCTTAAATTGTTATTGACTTGGGCTGTATGAGATCCTAAATTGTTGTTGACATGGGCCGTATGGAATCCTAAATTGTTGTTGACATGAGCTGTATGGGATCCTAAATTGTTGTTGACATGAGCTGTATGGAATCCTTAAATTGTTGTTGATATGGGCTGTATGAGATCCTAAATTGTTGTTGACTTGAGCTGTATGAGATCCTAAATTGTTATTGACACGGGCTGTATGGGATCCTAAATTGTTATTGACATGAGCTGTATGAGATCCTAAATTGTTGTTGACATGAGCTGTATGAGATCCTAAATTGTTATTGACACGGGCTGTATGAGATCCTAAATTGTTGTTGACATGAGCTGTATGAGATCCTAAATTGTTATTGACATGAGCTGTATGAGATCCTAAATTGTTGTTGACATGGGCCGTATGGAATCCTAAATTGTTATTGACATGAGCTGTATGAGATCCTAAATTGTTATTGACATGAGCTGTATGAGATCCTAAATTGTTGTTGACTTGGGCCGTATGGAATCCTAAATTGTTGTTGACATGAGCTGTATGAGATCCTAAATTGTTATTGACATGAGCTGTATGAGATCCTAAATTGTTGTTGACATGGGCCGTATGGGATCCTAAATTGTTGTTGACATGAGCTGTATGAGATCCTAAATTGTTATTGACATGAGCTGTATGAGATCCTAAATTGTTGTTGACATGGGCCGTATGGGATCCTAAATTGTTGTTGACATGAGCTGTATGAGATCCTAAATTGTTATTGACATGAGCTGTATGAGATCCTAAATTGTTGTTGACATGGGCCGTATGGGATCCTAAATTGTTGTTGACATGAGCTGTATGAGATCCTAAATTGTTATTGACATGAGCTGTATGAGATCCTAAATTGTTGTTGACATGGGCCGTATGGAATCCTAAATTGTTGTTGACATGAGCTGTATGAGATCCTAAATTGTTATTGACATGAGCTGTATGAGATCCTAAATTGTTGTTGACATGGGCCGTATGGGATCCTAAATTGTTGTTGACATGAGCTGTATGAGATCCTAAATTGTTATTGACATGAGCTGTATGAGATCCTAAATTGTTGTTGACATGGGCCGTATGGGATCCTAAATTGTTATTGACATGAGCTGTATGAGATCCTAAATTGTTATTGACATGAGCTGTATGAGATCCTAAATTGTTGTTGACATGGGCCGTATGAGATCCTAAATTGTTGTTGACATGGGCCGTATGGAATCCTAAATTGTTATTGACATGAGCTGTATGAGATCCTAAATTGTTATTGACATGGGCCGTATGAGATCCTAAATTGTTATTGACTTGGGCCGTATGAGATCCTAAATTGTTATTGACATGAGCTGTATGAGATCCTAAATTGTTATTGACATGGGCCGTATGAGATCCTAAATTGTTATTGACTTGGGCCGTATGAGATCCTAAATTGTTATTGACTTGGGCCGTATGAGATCCTAAATTGTTATTGACATGAGCTGTATGAGATCCTAAATTGTTATTGACATGGGCCGTATGAGATCCTAAATTGTTATTGACATGAGCTGTATGAGATCCTAAATTGTTATTGACATGAGCTGTATGAGATCCTAAATTGTTATTGACATGGGCCGTATGAGATCCTAAATTGTTATTGACATGGGCTGTATGAGATCCTAAAATATTGAGATGGGCAGTATGGGATCTTAAAATAGTGACATGTGCTGTATGGGATCTTAAAATAGTGACATGTGCTGTATGGGATCTTAAAATAGTGACATGAGCTGTATGGGATCTTAAAATAGTGACATGTGCTGTATGGGATCTTAAAATAGTGACATGTGCTGTATGGGATCTTAAAATAGTGACATGTGCTGTATGGGATCTTAAAATAGTGACATGAGCTGTATGAGATCCTAAAATAGTGACATGTGCTGTATGGGATCTTAAAATAGTGACATGTGCTGTATGGGATCTTAAAATAGTGACATGAGCTGTATGAGATCCTAAAATAGTGACATGTGCTGTATGAGATCCTAAATTGTTGTTGACTTGGGCCGTATGAGATCCTAAAATAGTGACATGTGCTGTATGGGATCTTAAAATAGTGACATGTGCTGTATGGGATCTTAAAATAGTGACATGTGCTGTATGGGATCTTAAAATAGTGACATGAGCTGTATGAGATCCTAAAATAGTGACATGTGCTGTATGGGATCTTAAAATAGTGACATGTGCTGTATGGGATCTTAAAATAGTGACATGTGCTGTATGGGATCTTAAAATAGTGACATGAGCTGTATGAGATCCTAAAATAGTGACATGTGCTGTATGGGATCTTAAAATAGTGACATGTGCTGTATGGGATCTTAAAATAGTGACATGAGCTGTATGAGATCCTAAAATAGTGACATGTGCTGTATGAGATCCTAAATTGTTGTTGACTTGGGCCGTATGAGATCCTAAAATAGTGACATGTGCTGTATGGGATCCTGAATTTTACTGATATGGGCTGTATGGGGTCCTAAATATTGACATTGGCTATATGGGATTCAAAAACATCATGGAATTGGACTAAACTATCTATCACACGTTTAAGGAATTCAAGCAATATCTGGTTTTATGGCAAACATTTGTTTAAAGTTGATGTGACTTTGCAGGAGTAGTTTCATTTAAAAACCCTAGTTAACCAGATAACCAGTCGCTCTTCTGCTTAAAGAAGCAGTTCTTTTCATGCTATCATATTGCAGACACGCATAATATAAAACGGTTTTTCCTATTTGGGTGATCCAGTTCAGGGAAAATATCTTTTCCGTTGCAATATTTGAATTTTCATTGCCATGTAGCGTGCAAAAAAGGAAAAGCGTGAGAAAAAAAATAAATAATTTCACGTTAACAACATCAAAGAAAATATCAACATGTCAACATAATTTTGAATTTAAGTAAGATTTGATGAAAAGAGAGCGAAATATCAACACAGATGATTACATCAATACCCCTGACAAAATACAAATATAGTAAAACCAGGTGTTGCGGATAAAGTTAGTATTATCAGAATTAACATAGAGGAAATTAGAAGCGACACAAGCATTGCTTTTATTTTACGAAAAATAAAATGAAATAATTAAATAGATGTGTCGATTTCTTCCGTTGTGTAACATTAGTTTATAGCATATGTTGGACAATAGAATTCTTATCAGGACTAAGGAATCTCGAGTAATAATTACTTTCTATTAAATAATGACTAAGGTTATATCAGATAGGGAATAGTGCGACATAAGCCAGAGGCAAAGGAACTCCTTGCCATAATTGAAACACGCATGTAGTATGCAATACGAAATATCTAACGTAAGACATTTACTGGTATGGTCTCTATAAACGTACCGTTCTAATTTTACAATAAGTAAGAAAGGTTCTCGGCCCTTTCGACCGCGTTTGACGCAAGATAAAGCCAAGAGCGGTACTTGGCCCTTTCGATAATTTCGGAAACAAGATGGATGTTACCAAACGATTGGTCGTTTTTACATTTGTTTTGTTCATTTCATCATGTGGTAAGTAGTTTTTAGATTTGTTTCCTTTTCTTTTCAAGTGATTTGATTCCGATTCTTCCTTGGCTAGTATTTACAATATCGCTAAAATAAAAGGGTTGATCTTCTTTTGAAAGAATACACAGAAAACATACACAGTGACTTGGGTAAAGTAATAACAATGTACACGGCACGCCTAGCTTAAGTGAAACAAAATCACACACGTTATATAAAGAAGAATATAACATATGTGTACAGTTTACGAAAAGTAGTACAAATTTGCATAAAGGACTTGTATAAAGTAGAATATAACTAATCAAGACATCTTATATAAAGAATATAGCATACAAATACAACGTATGTTTACTAGAATATAACTGTCTTAGACAATTCATATCAAGGAGAATATAACATAGATATACTGCTTATGTAGAGTAGAAAAAAGCATACATAGAAGGCCTGGTTGAAGAAGAATATAACGAACCTAGACTTAATATAAAGAATATAACATATATATATATATAATTTACGGTATATAGTATCAATTAACGTAAAGAGCTTAGAATATAACTGATCTGACATCATATGGAATACAGCATGCATGGACAACTTATGTAACATTTATCCTACTTGACATATGTACAAGGAGGACTTATGTAAAGTAGGATAAATGTACATAAAGGACTTATGTCAAGTAGGATAAATGTACATAGAGAATTTATGTCAGGTAGGATAACTGTACATAGAGAATTGATGTAAAGTAGATAAATGTACATAGAGGATTTATGTAAAGTAGGATAAATGTACATAGAGGATTTATGTAAAGTAGGATAAATGTAGATAGAGAATTTATGTAAAGTAGGATAAATGTACATAGAGGATTTATGTAAAGTAGGATAAATATACATAGAGGATTTATGTAACCTAGGATAAATGTAGATAGAGAATTTATGTCAGGTAGGATAACTGTACATAGAGAATTGATGTAAAGTAGATAAATGTACATAGAGGACGTATGTAAAGTAGGATAACTGTACATAGAGGATTTATGTAAACTAGGATAGATATACAAAGAGGACTTATGTAAAGTAGGATAAATGTACATAGAGAATTTATGTAACGTAGGATAAATGTACAACGAGGACTTATGTAAACTAGGATAGATATACAAAGAGGACTTATGTAAAGTAGGATAAATGTAGATAGAGAATTTATGTAAAGTAGGATAAATGTACATAGAGGATTTATGTAAACTAGGATAGATATACAAAGAGGACTTATGTAAAGTAGGATAACTGTACATAGAGAATTGATGTAAACTAGGATAAATGTACATAGAGGATTTATGTAAACTAGGATAGATATACAAAGAGGACTTATTATGTAAAGTAGGATAAATGTACATAGAGGATGTTAGTAGATAAATGTAGGATTTATGTAAAGTAGGATAAATATACATAGAGGATTTATGTAACCTAGGATAAATGTAGATAGAGAATTTATGTAAAGTAGGATAAATGTAGATAGAGAATTTATGTAACCTAGGATATTTATGTCAAGTAGGATAAATGTAGATAGAGAATTTATGTAAAGTAGGATAAATGTACATAGAGAATTTATGTAAAGTAGGATAAATGTACATAGAGGACTTATGTAAACTAGGATAAATGTACATAGAGGACTTATGTAAAGTAGGATAGATATACAAAGAGGACTTATGTAAACTAGGATAAATGTACATAGAGAATTTATGTAAAGTAGGAAAAATATACAAAGAGGACTTATGTAAACTAGGATAAATGTACATAGAGAATTTATGTAAAGTAGGATAAATGTAGATAGAGAATTTATGTAAACTAGGATAAATGTACATAGAGGATTTATGTAAAGTAGTATAAATGTACATAGAGAATTTATGTAAAGTAGGATAAATGTACATAAAGGACTTATGTAAAGTAGGATAAATATACATAGAGGAATTTATGTAAACTAGGATAAATGTACATAGAGGATTTATGTAAAGTAGGATCAATGTACATAGATGATTTATGTAAAGTAGAAAACAACAAGAAAATACTAACATGTCAACATAATTATAATATAAATTCAAATAAAAATAGGACAAAATATGAACAATAGAACGATTTACACAGACACTCCTGATAAAGTACAAGGAAAATAAAAACAGGTCGAACAAAGATATTTAATATTTCTCAACGAGCTTACTAAAATTACTGTAATTTTCATCAACCTACATCTTTTGAAAACCCATGTTACGAGTATGTCAATCAGTTGATTGCACGATAATCGTGATAATGGGAACATGCCCTTGAATATCGAATCAACTGCAACATGTAAACACCATAAATTGGGGATGCAGGAATGTTACTATCCAGAAATACTGAGGAAAGTTTAAAGTGATTTAAAGAAATATCAAATTTCAGACGGTGAGGTGCACTAAAATCGTACACAATGCACCTAGGAAACAAAGAATATATATATGTGTATTTATGTAGGAAATAGACATCTTACATATAGCAGTATATGGCATATATAGACAACTTATGTGAAATAGAATATAATGGACCTAGACATCTTACATATAGCAGTATATGGCATATATAGACAACTTATGTGAAATAGAATATAATGGACCTAGACATCTTACATATAGCATTATATGGCATATATAGACAACTTATGTGAAATAGAATATAATGGACCTAGACATCTGAAATGTATATAAAACACCTAATGATTTAAAATTTAACTTTTATGAAAAAAACTAAGACACATCTTAAACAAAATATCGCCGCTTAGAAGTATAGTATCCTTACCAATCAAACCATATATCTATTCAAACAAAATGTTTTGAAATTCAAATCCTATGAGTGATAAGTTCGACATTCCTCATACCTAGTCTTATGATAATCAAATTCATTTTTTAGCCTCTATAGCCAAAACAAGACATAGGATTTCGATAATTTGATTTCTCTAGCTCTAGTAGGTTAAGCTTATTTTGATTCCTGTTTTCCAGCCTTTGCTGAGTACCGCCGTGTGTGTTATTACAACCTGGTCTCCATTTACCATACCGGAATAGGAACATTTCGTCCCTATAACATCGACCCCATGCTTTGTACACACATAATCGTCGCATATGCTGATCTCAATAACAATATGATAGATGTGATGTCGGCTAACGATGAAACTTTGTAAGTTTGTATAATTTGTCATGCATGTGCACGTTGTATCAGCATACTTTCTCATTAGTTTCATATTGATGTGTTATATGAACAAATACATTTAAGAAATCTGCCACAAGTGTCTGAATACCAGGTATGTTCCGGACTACTTTAGTGTACAGTTCGACTGTTCTGGACTACCTACATTGTATATATATACTATTCAACGGTTAAACTGGCCTGGATTTATAGAGCTCGACTGTTGCTATGTTTAGGATAACAGAGTTTGGCCTATGATATATCATGGATATCCTAAGCTCAATGTTTAGGTATATAAACTCCATTGGTCCGAAAAACTAATGTACTAATGCCGTACCCTAGCATATGTCGCCCGACAAACTTGGTTAGAAGCATTTTTGGGAATGACGTTAAAGTTAGTATAAATGGCGAGTTTGATAATCTAGAACACTAGGGAGGGACCAGAGGGAAACAAAGCAAATTATTTAAAATTCTTCTCGACGAATGGTTGAAAATTTGATCCAGGTTTGGTCAGGAGCACTCTCAGGTGATGGGGGACTGCATACTCAAACTTATATAAACAGCATGTCTTGGTCATCTGGGACAGGAGGGAGGGGCCCAAGAGAGCAAAAAGGGAAAATTCTATAAAATAATTTTTTCTTGTACGAATGTCAGGATTCCCTCCGACTTTGGTTTGAAGCATCCTTGTGTGAAAGGGACTCAGTTTTGTATAAAATGTGTGCCTGACCACCGCTAGGCAGAGAGACTGTTAACTCAATGAGAGAGATTGAGGAATTACTTTAAAATACGTCTTCTTTTGAACGAATGGCATGCTTTTGTCCAAAATCCGTAGCATCGTTTGATGAATGGAACTCAATTTTGTGTTATCTGTGGGTCAGAACGTCTTGGGGCAGAGAGGCGGGTAAATAGATGTTTTTGTCTTTGAAATTCGTCTTCTTCTGTTGCAATGAAATTAATTTCATCAAATTTTGCCTTAGGTATCTTTAGAGATAAGCATTTGAGATAATTCTTTTTCAGCTTGTATTGAAGAATTTCGTGGAAATTTTGTTTTAAATCTCTTTAACTATTGGGAAAAGTGTAACAATATATACAATAAATTTAATATGGATAATATGGCCTTCTTTCCCCTTCAGGTTAGTTTCAGTAATATGTACCTAATTCAATGAAAGTGCTATAACATCATTCCTGCCATTTACACTGAATTAATAGTCATTGATAATGTATATAATGTCATCAGGCGTGGGCGGCGTTACGTCACTATATCACGATAGTCTCATTCAGTATTCCGCAGTTAACTATTGGTGTTAGTTTGCTTACATCTCTATATATAGTCTTCGATATCATAAGAAATACGATCAAAGCAAGTCATACTGCCACAGCAGAAAGTAATTAAATTTGAAACCAAAAAGTTAAAAGTTCACAACAGACTATAAAGAAGGGTGTTTACAGTGAAAAAAAATCGTTCACACATTCGTTTTTTATCTGAGAAAAAATAAAATATTCTGTGCTCAACATTGGTTAAATTCGGTGTTTAGCCGTATTTTGGCATATAGTTTCTCTATTTGTTATATCGGATCATGCTGTCTGATTTTTCTGAAAGACAGCCTAACATTCTCTATATTTTGATAATAGCCCGAGGCTGCCTCACACTGAATACTGAACAGCCTCGTGTTATTGTGTAGAATTTAATATTCGCCCTTTTCGTCCATGAGAAGGAAGGGCGAATTTAAGATGGCGTGAACAGTTTTTCGTTTGTATAATCATTTTGTATAATGTTCAGAGAGTGAAATGATCACGAGGAGAATTCGTGTACAATTGTACAAGGGCAAAAATAACCTGGGATGAAAATATCCCGGTAAAGGTTATGTAGTTTTAATACGACTCACAAAGTACATTGCTTATCATAGAGGAAAAATTTCATCGGCGTGTTTTATTTATAAAAGCACCTATATAACTAAACTTCAAAATATTGCATAATCTATCATATCATGACAGTCCGGATATGAATGTTGGCATATTTCCAGGTTCTTTATAAAGACAACACCTTCAGTAAATGGAATTATGTTTGCCGAATTCGTCCATTCGTAGATCCGAACTCAATTGCCTGAGGGCCCGTCTCGATTTTATCACGATCGTAAATACAGTTCTGACGTCATACATGTATCTATCAATGTATCCATTTATAGCATATATAAAACTGCATTCTGAGTATTGTGTTAATATTTATTTCAAGGAATTATCATTTGTGCATGAATTTAATTGAAACAAACTTATTAAGGATATACGACAAGACATACGTATTGATAGGGTTAAACAAGATATGCATATCCATATGGTACACGACAATCAAATTCAAGTTTTATGCTTATCAGTTGGTTTAATTTAAAAACCAGATTACACTTCCTTCCACTTAATTTTTTTCTATGTGTAAATGTAGATATAATCAAACAACCGCAATAATTAAACTAAAATAGGTATATCACAATGTGTCATATACACACTAACATAATGTCACAAACTTTTTAAAGAAAATGTGTTCGTATGCTTATTACATATTGATATATACATAGATATGTTTCTGTACTTGTGGAATCTGAAACAAATAGTTAAACAAATTAATGAAAATATTAATTAAACATCCATAAAAACCGTCGTATTAATGTCATTTATGACGTAACATAATCTATAACAAAGGTAGATAGTCTAGTAATCAATCAAAATAGGTTAATATTTTTTATGTATATTTTATAGAGAAATCAAGTAAAAGATCTGTGATTTTTTTTTCTATAAAATATATACAGGAATATTTTTTGTTATAAGTACCAATTTTTTCAACTGAGCAACTTAATTTTAATTAAAATATATTCTTAACAGGAAAAATCTTGAAAAAAATACTTTTAATGTATATTAGGCCTTTACTAGAACATGCTTGTGAGGTTTGGGATAACTGCAACGAAGGAGATACAGAAGCTACTGAAAATATACCGTACGAAGCCTCCAGAATTATCACTGGTTAACCCATCTTTACAAGTAAATCACTCTTATATCAAGAATTAAACCCGCAATCCTTAAAAGAACGTAGGGTGTTTAGAAAAGTCAATCGTTTATATAGAATTCAGTCTTGTAATTCACCAAACTATCCTGTGTCTCTTCCTCCTCCGAATGTATCTGACTTGTCCGCTTATAATCTCAGAAACAAAGATAAACATCAAATTCCCCATTATGGTCTTAGTCTAACTATGTCTTCATTTATTCCTAAGACCTGCAATCTATGGAACAACTTGTCACTAGAAAAACGAAATAGCACCACTTTGAAACAGTTTCAAAAATCTATCAGTCCAGCAAAATTACCTTTACATGGGGAGATTCTTAAAGAGTACGGTGAAAGGAGAGTTAATATTATACGTTGTCGTATCCATAATAGTGCTAGTATTCTCAATAATGATTCATTCCGTGTTAATCTAACTGACAGTCCGTCCTGTCAGTGTGGAAATACTGTAGAGCACGGGGAACATTTTATTTTTCGTTGTCCATTATACAATATAGAAAGAAATAAAATGGTGAGACATTTATTATGGTATGGTAATATTACATACGAAAACCTTACGTATGGTGATAATTCCTTGGACGTAAAATTAAATGAAGCTATTTGTAAACACGTGCAAAATTTCATTGTCGATAGTAAAATATTTGTGTAAGTACAAATACAGGTCATTATATTTCTACATGTCGACAGCGCCATTTGACGAGCCCTTAGCACCTACTTTATTTTCTTATTCATTATATCAGCATCCCTTTTTCTTTCTGTTGTTTGTACCTTTCTTCTTTACTGTCCCTTTTTCTTCTTTACTCATAATTTGAAAATTTCATCTATGTACCGATTGATTTAGACCATTGCTAAGTTGTGCATATGTATAATTGTATTATGGAGAGGACATTTATAAGTTGTGACAACTTGCGTCCGATCCTTTTGTGTAATAATTATGCAATAAAATCGATTGAAATTCAAATTCTAAAAATAATTTCCAGAATATAAGGTCTTTGATATTTGAAACTGATATTATGGCGTGTTTTCATAAAAAAAAAAAAAAAAAACAGCATACCAAATCAACTGTCAGTAATTTCTAAACTGTCAGTTATTATTACTCAAAACACACACCAACATTAATGTTTATTGTTCCAGTTACAAAGAAATTATTGACCTCAAACCTGCCAACCCCTTTCTTAAGGTGATGATAGCCTTAGGAGACTTTGATCACAAAATTGCTACAATGGTAGCTAAACCAAGAAGAATGATCGAGTTCGTAGACTCTGTCGTCGAGTTTCTTCAGAAATATGGATTTGATGGGATTGACTTGGACTGGGAATTTTCAGCAATCGACAAACCACGCGTAGATAAATCAAAATATTCCGGTCTTTGCAGGGTTTGTACTTTATATAATTCATTAACTTGTTTTGTAAATGTACAAAGACATATTGTTAAACAGTAGCAAACATGCATGTACAGTACAAAAGCTGAAACACACAATATGTAACATACCAACAATTTACCTTTTTCTGTGTGAGACAATCTTGTAGTCTGGGTTTATTATTGGTGTTATCACCTAGTGACATCATTGTTATAAACCTATTAACATCAGTGTGATTACCTAGTGACGTCGGTGTGATAACCTGGTGACTTTGGTGTTATAACCTAGTTACGTCGGTGTTGTAACCTAGTGACGTCGGTGTGATAACCTGGTGACTTTGGTGTTATAACCTAGTTACGTCGGTGTTGTAACCTAGTGACGTCGGTGTTATAACCTAGTGACGTCGGTGTTGTAACCTAGTGATGTCGGTGTTATCACCTAGTGACGTCGGTATTATAACCTAGTGACGTCGGTGTTGTAACCTAGTGATGTCGGTGTTATAACCTAGTTACGTCGGTGTTGTAACCTAGTGACGTCGGTGTGATAACCTGGTGACTTTGGTGTTATAACCTAGTTACGTCGGTGTTGTAACCTAGTGACGTCGGTGTTATAACCTAGTGACGTCGGTGTTGTAACCTAGTGATGTCGGTGTTATCACCTAGTGACGTCGGTATTATAACCTAGTGACGTTTGTGTTGTAATCTAATTTAGACTGAAATTATAGTAAAAAAGAAATATGATTTAACTATGCGATATGAATATATCGATTGATTAATGTTATATGTTTGTAGCTTTTGGATTGATCGTATGACTTGACTTTTCAGAGACTAAGAAATGCTTTTAAAAATGAGTGTGAAAAGTCTGGTAAGGACAGTATGCTGCTTTCAGCTAGTGTTGGAACGCTTAAAGAAAACATCGATGACGTTTATGATGTCCCGAACATGATAAAGTAAGTTTCCGCCATTACTTAGGTCAACCTATGACAAAGGTACATGTACACACAAGTAGAGACAGTTTGATGAGTCAAGTATGTTTTATCATATTGTTTATTTCAGACAAAACAAATATCTTTTCAAATTATAAATAATTTGACTCACTCAAACCTCCACGAACATGTTTACTAAAGACAAACGATGATAATACCTTTTCGAACTAGTATGGCCTCAATATCAGATTCAGAGTTTTCTTATCATTTGATTGACGAACAATGTATTTAAAACTTTTCACGTTATTGCTTAAAACAAAAAATCATATGATGAAAACAATAGTTTAATCAGGTTTGTATCGCTAAATGTTAAATAATGGTAAGCATTTATGCTTCTTTTCAATTTTTCACTTCTGCGCGAAAAAAGATGTTTGTAGATTTTGAAAATTACGTCATTTGGATGCGTGAGAAACTTATTTTTTTATGACGTTACACTCTCAATCAAATGACGCAACAATCAATACATATTAATTAGAGCTGATAACTCGGCGATATGAAAGGCAGAAAGTTTAGTTTAGAAATAACATACCCCAAAAACTAAAGTAACTGACATCAGTGCTACATGTAATCCCGTATATTTATAATCATATCTGATGTTATTTTTTTCAGACACCTAGACTTCATTAACCTCAATACTGATAACTTATATCGAGAACAGGACTATCCCGACAATCGGACATACCATCACAGTCCACTGGTCAGCAGGCCGGACGACACGGAGACGGAAAGTTATATTAACATGGTAACTACATTAGATCTAGACATATTGTACATAATATCAAATGTTGTTGAAATGTATAAACTTTCTGTAATATCGTTAAACTTGTTTATTTTTCTATTGTTTGTCAGCTGCTGATAGTGTAAATATGTACGTTTCAGCAATGGGTAGCAAGATACTGGGCACAGAAGGGAGTTCCAAAGACAAAAATTAACATAGGGCTCTCTCTAGATAGTTACGGGTTCAAACTGCTAGATCCAGCTAATTTCCTCATAGGGTCCGTGTCTACCGGGCCAAGCGACGGCGGGCTGTATACAGCTTTACAAGGACATCTAGCCTATTATGAGGTAGGTACTAACGAACTAACATTCACATCATCTTCAAGCCTTCAAGTCTTCACTCATTTCTATTTTCTTCACGAAACAAAAGAAACCATTGCTACACAAAATATTAATCGTTTTCTTTCACAAAGGTATTGAGAAATTATGAATTAAGAGCATGAAGGATGTTTTAAAGAAATTATACAACATAGAATATATATAGTTTTCGTCATTCAAATAATCCATTTTCAACTGATTTATTTTGTGCGAAAAACCACAATAAAATTATTATTTTGATGATCCATATATATATATAAATTAAAAGGCAAACCCAAGGATAGAACACAGTTTAACGTATAGCCTGTTATTTGACGTGAACGACTGATGTTGTTTACGATTAGGCTACAGCCTTGACGCACGCTAGTATAGTAATCTGTGGTGTTTGTATAAATGGCAAATTAAAATATTTGGCCTGAAAGAAAAAAAACAACTATTTTTCATGTAGCAAATAGAAGGTTCACATCAACACTGTAGAGCAGCGAGAATATAACACTACATCATCCAACGCTACATAATACTTAAATCTAAATACTACTAAATAGTTTATATCTACACAATACTTATATGATTTATATATACATGATACTAAATAATTTATGCCTACATATTACTATTTAACGTATAAGTACATAATTCTACATAATTTGTCTACATAATACATATACTACAGTAACAGCCACGTCTTCAGAGTTTCTATAATACAATATAACAATGGTTTTAATTTACTATCTTTACTATAACGATTGTATTTTATATCATCGTAACTAATTATACCGTCAATTTAATTAAATTGTTATTTTATAGTACAGTGACTTATACTACAGTTACAGCGTGGTTACTTAAGTACACTGTTTCAGTACTGTATATTGTTATAATATATCCCCTTTCACTGTTTTACTACTATTTGTATACTGTTTTACTATTGTTCGTCTAGTGTTCACTACTGTTATTGTACTGTGTACTAACAGTAACCCATTGTTGCTCTGCTGTTTGAACAATGCTTTACTTTTTTGTCATTTTTCAGGGTTTTTTTTATATAAATTGCTATTAGCACACTAATATTGGTGGTTATATTGATGACAGGTGTGTCTGTTGATGGAAGCAGGAGGTCAGTCGTACCGAGACTATTTTGTCCCCTACTACGTCGATAACGACCTGTGGGTGGCTTATGATGATGAACAGAGTATAACGGACAAGGTAGGCTCGCTAAATATATATATATAACATCTCTATATACACAAGACACAATGTCATTCACTTGGCGTTTATAGATATACTTTTACGAGTTATGTGGTATGTCGCTATTCTAATGATAGTGTCACCAAATACTTGCAGTGGATGGTGTTAAACATCACTTTTGACACAAGGGTAAACAAAAAATGTTTACATGTCATGCGACTTTGTCAAATCCAATAAATGTTACGTTACTCAAAAAACAGTCAGAATCGGCAAATAGACTTTCGACGTAAAAGTGAGCCGCGTTACGCTTGTACCATTGCCATAAACGTACGGTACACTTTTTACAGCAAAAGTGTAACGCGGGACATATTTAACTACAAAATGTATAAATGTGTATCAGAATCCATATCGGTTTGTACACCACAACCCATATCGGCCGGTACCCCTTTTCAAATATTTTAATGCGCCCGGCCAGTACGGGTCTTCTAATATATACGACGATTAGGTAGACTTTCTCTTATTGGATAAATTGGGTGCCACAAATCTATAACTCAATAATGTTACTTTTGTTATAAAGGTTGAATGGTTGATTGAAGAGGGATACGGAGGCACAGCTGTATGGGAGTTGTCTTTGGATGATTTCAGCGCTGTATGTAATTCCTCCATGAGAAGGTTTCCTATTGCACAGCAGATCAAAGATACGCTTCAACAAGCAGAACCAAGTAAGACACGACTCTAAAACAATTTTAGAGTAACTACATGGAGAACGAAGTATTGTGTTGAAATACTTTGCCTAGAGAAGCAAATTTTCACGAATTTGCCTTTATTTTCTTTGCCGATCAGTTATAACATTCTTGATATACTTTACCGAGAACAAAGTCGGTTTTTGTCAGTTTAAACAGCACTGTCTTAAAGTTACCTTGCCAAGATCACAGCCAGTTTAAACTTCACTGAAAGGAGTCAATCTTCAGGATAATGTTCTGATTACTTCGCCAAGAACTAAGTCAGTTTTTAAAATCATATCTTAAGCTACTTCGCCGGGATTAGAATAAATTTTAATACGTTGTTACGGTTAGCTACAACTGCGAGATTTGGGTCAATGTTCAATTACTACTGAAAGGAATAAGTCAGGCTTCTCAATGCAAATGTTACTAAATCGCTGTATCGGTATATATTACTATGTTACAAATATAAGTTGCACGCATACAACAACTTGTATACATTGTTCGAAACATTAATTACTTGAATAGTAGCAAGCTCTGAGCACATGGACTGTAAACTTTTCTCATTATATTATGTTAACATTCCGTTTGGTTTGAGATTCGGTATGTTTTGCCTGTTGGTAGAGCCGAATACATATCGACGAGTATGTACTTTCACGGTGTGGGCCGGAGATCGACCGGGAATAGGAGAGTTTACTCCCTGGGACATAAATCCTGATCTGTGCACGCACATCACAGTGGTCTATGCTGCTGTCCGCCATGACCGGCTAGCGCCAATGTTCGTCCAAGATTTAAAATTGTAAGACAGACTTCTCGCTTTGATTTCTTCCATAAGAATCTTCAGTGACGAGAGTTTCTACTTTACGCAAACACTTGCAACATGTAAACAAATAAATATTTGGAAATCAGGAAATTATTAACAGGCGTAGAATTATGTCATGGCCATGGTTACCTAATACGGAGGCCGTTTTAAAAACTTTTTTGTTATCTAAAAGACAAGACATCAATAAATCGAAAAGTAAAACTGAGCTGCTCGATAAAAATCTGCCATCCGTTCTAAAATATTTAGTATCACACACAAACAGGGACATGTCAACCAACAAAAATTAAATTATGCCGCTTCTAGATTCGGCAGAAGGAAAACAAAATTGCTACGTTGATTTATTGATATTAACATTGGCAGTGAAAATGAATTATCAATGTCTATCTATTAGGTGTCTACAATAGTAAAAATGTTCTGTTACCTACTCTTGTATGCAGGTATCGGCAAATTAACAGAATAAAGAATAATTACCCGCACATAAAGACACTTTTGTCAGTTGGTGGCTGGGAAGCCGGTAGTGCGGAGTTTTCCAACATGGTGTCCAATCGTCTCTCGATGTTTACATTTGTGAGGTCAGTCCTCACCTTCTTCCGCAGTTACGATTTTGACGGTCTTGATCTGGCATGGCAATATCCAGCATTCAGAAAAGGGTCTCGCCCAGCAACAGATCGACGTCTCTATGGAGAACTAATTAGGGTAAGAAGTAAACTTTTATTTTCAATGATTCCAGTTCTTTTTTCCCGAAGTTTTTCATTCAGAATCTCAGTTTGGATATCAGGCCCGTTAGTATTTCCTTTTTACTTTCACCACATACATGTTAGTTTGTGGCTTTGATTTATACGACGTTCTTTTGAATTCACAGATGCTTCGAGTTGCTCTCGATACAGAATGCTTGCGTTCTGGTAGAGACCGTTTACTTCTGACGGCATCAGTCAGCCCAGAAAAAGACGTCATTGACACATCGTACGATATCAACAGTATGATTCAGTATGTATCCTGACAATATAGTGTACTTGTTAACGTAAAGGAGTCTACTTAGTGACTAATAGCATGGTTGCTACCGAAGGGCTGAGATAATCCTTAAGGAAGTGAACCATTACATTTCTCTTATCCTTTTTGGCTTCCATACATGGTATTTTTTCCAATGTTTGACGCTGTTGACATACGTCATTGAATTGTTGACGTGACGTCACTAATATGTCAATGTGACGTCATACCATTGTAATGGCATGATAATTTGTACAGAGCAAGAGAATAATATGCCTCAAAATATACAATACATATCTGCTTCATTAACGTTGTTGAGCATCATTTCAGAAATTTAATTTGAAATTGGCAGGAACCTGGATTGGATCAACGTGATGTCCTTCAGCATGTATGGTTCCTCAGACGAGTATACAGACCATCATAGTCGTCTAAGTGCACGTCCATTTAGCAGCGTCGACAGCGCCCAACGCACAATTGTACGTAATCGTCTCGTAAATAGTTCGATTCAGACTGTTTTCCTTCATTGTACGAACGAATGAACATTAAACTCAAAACTTTTACTTCCTTTCTCATATCCTATGGCATAAAGATAAATACATCAAAAACATAGATTTAAGTTAGTGTTGTTGTAAAGGATACTGAGGCAGGGATACCGATATTTGTTTTAGAAAAAGTAAAGACTGAGCACCACATTGCAGAAATGATCAATATGTTTGGTAATTTAATTTAAAATTACACAAAATTCTAGAAAGGGATTACGCCATATAAAACATAGTTATACATAAGTAGGCGAAGGAATTAGGTCATATTACACAGTTACACATAAGTACGAGGAGGAATTAGGTCACATTACACAGTTACACATAAGTACGAGGAGGAATTAGGTCATATTACACAGAGGGTTACACATAAGTACGAGGAGGAATTAGGTCATATTACACAGTTACACATAAGTACGAGGAGGAATTAGGTAATATTACACAGTTACAAATAAGTACGAGGAGGAATTAGGTCACATTACACAGTTACACATAAGTACGAGGAGGAATTAGGTCATATTACACAGTTACAAATAAGTACAGAGGGTTACACATAAGTACGAGGAGGAATTAGGAATTATGTCATATTAAACAGAGGGTTACACATAAGTACAGAGGGTTACACATAAGTACGAGGAGGAATTAGGTCATATTACACATAAGTACGAGGAGGAATTAGGTCATATTACACAGAGAATTACACATAAGTACGAGGAGGAATTAGGTCATATTACACAGAGAATTACACATAAGTACGAGGAGAAATTAGGTCATATTACAGAGAGAATTACACATAAGTACGAGGAGGAATTAGGTCATATTACACAGAGAATTACACATAAGTACGAGGAGAAATTAGGTCATATTACAGAGAGAATTACACATAAGTACGAGGAGGAATTAGGTCATATTACACAGAGAATTACACATAACTACAAAAGGACCCGGAAATCTGAGTTCTTTTATTCCATTTATCCAGTGAAATAAGTTATAAAGTATACACGTGTATCATTCAAGGAAATCACAAGACAGAGTTATATATTCTTTAAGTGGCCCACAATATAGTGTTAAATACACGTACACCTACTTGTTTCATACTTTATATCGTTGTTGGTTTTAGCATTCAAGATTTGGTTAAGTAGTCCAACACAAATAGTGAAAACATCAATTGATTTCGAACATTCATTCGATATCAAAAATGATATTATACATCTTAAAATTCAGAATTAAGATAGACCAACTGAATATCAATATCAACATATCTCAGTAATGGATATTCATCTATAGACCTGCAAAATCTCGGCAGTATTATGTTTAAATTAATTTATAGATTAAAAAAAACTACATGACTTTGAACAATCTATTGTTAAAGACGTTCTTGAAGAAATATTTTACTTCTGTGCCACAACTTTTTAGAATTATCCGAAACATAAATTTAACCTAACATTATTGGACAGGAATGGTCTCTTAGTTATTGGAATAGCCTTGGTGTAGCGAAGGAGAAGCTAAATGTGGGCCTGTCGACGTTCGGAGTTGGATTTACACTTGAATACCCCGGCATTAACGGAATAGATGCTGACACTTGTGGGCCATCGGACCCAGGACCATACACGAATGTTGCCGGCTACCTTTCCTACTATGAGGTACGTTATCTAGGAAGTAAACATTGATTGGATCCACTTATAACATGCGTTTTGTCCTTTAGGTAAGCCCTATCACTGATGATAAAACTTAGGTACTTGTTAGTGTGCCTGGTGGTCCTGTTTCTGTTTACATTGTTTTCATTTGGAACGTGACATTAATTATTTGAGTAGACCAAGTTTTGCAATGCGCGTGTTGTCAACGAAGTAGAAGACGTTTACCATTCGTAAAACCTAGTCTTACTATCCTTTTTGATGAATCCTCGTATAAATCTTTAATTTGTTCATATTCTGTCTTATTTTTTCTGATTTAAGTAAGTAGAAATAAATTTCCGTTGACAAGCTGGTATTTTCTTTGATGTTTTTGTAGACGTTCGGATACATAAGAGCTACAGTAAAAACTTCATTAATTTGAATTTAATTAAAGTTACGTGACACTATGTTAAGATTCCTTTCACTGTCTCATTAAGAGAGCGACAAGCAAGAACACGTTTTCACTTTTAAGAAAGGGTATGACGTCACGTATATATGACGTAATAATATTATTCTTGTACATGAACATAAGCTTTATGGTATATGTTTTGTTGTGATATAATATATGGCGTAAACTTTGAATTAGCCTCATTCATATATCATTTATAAACTTGTTCATGAAAAGAAGCAATGCCTCGAGTAGAACATGAGATAACACAAAGAAAAAGAAATAGACAGCGAGTTTCTTACCATTGAGGTGTAATAAACAAACAACATCAACCTACCTAATAAACAGATTGGTGAGCTGATAGAGAACGGAGCCATGGTGTACCGGGACGATGGCATGCCGTACCTTGTTCTCGGTGATCAGTGGATTTCATACGATGACCTACAAAGTCTAACAGAAAAGGTAAGCAGTCTTGTTTGGTTTTGTCTGTATTTTGTCAGCTTTGGTTACACCATCACACGATAACAAGATAAACAGAAATTTGTAATTAATTGATAAAAAATAGTATTGATTTCGGTAATGCCAATTCTTATGAATCTATAGATCTGTCATGTTCTTGTAATCGAATATCAAAATTCATGCTTTTGCCCGTCTTTTGTGGTGAGATCAGCATTTACCACAATTCAAACGATTAGCCATGGGGAGCTAGAATATTAGTAAATACATCATCTGTATTAGACTTTCAAAATCATCCGAACATGAGTGGTATAAGAGGTTGTGAAGGTGTTTTTAACTGAAGCTTAAAGTCACAAGCCCATGGTAATGTAGAAAATTGGTTATAATGTAAAAAATGATGTAAAAATTCATCAGATGTAAGAAAGGTTTAATTATTATTATCATATATACATGTATTCAACGTCATGTGTATTACCGAAGTTATCATTATTTCTGTACCATGCTTTGAGTATTGACTTGAAGGATGATGATCAAATTTCACTTCTCATTTTTGTAATTTACCTGTATGAAACAACCAAAGTACGTCCATACTATACGATTAATTCAATCAACTGATCAATGAAGCACCGACGATAAAAAAAAAAAAAAAAAACACCCACACATATAAAACTCGACTCGTACACCTGAAATGACCGACATGTATATCGGAAACGAGGCTGCACTTCCATTTTCCGGAAAAATAACCGAATCACTGAGACGTAAAATTACTATTAAGTTTTAGTTCATGATAGCCTATTACGATAGTTTCTCGTCTACAGTTTGATGTACGTCTTGAGGGAGCTTTTGAACACACAACTTTATAAACAAGAATGACATTGTTAAGAAGAAAATTGTGATATAAACCCTGTTTTGAAAATGGTGTTTTTTCTATGTCTCTCTCTGTGCGCTTTTTCAAAGGTTAAGATTTTTATTGTTGATTCTTTTTTCACAAATGAGCCGTATTTTTTGTAAGCTTTTCTTCTCTCAGTCTACACCTCACTGCCTAGTTGAAAGCAGAATTGAGTGGTAAAAGAAAAGCTTTTAAAAACGCTATGCCACTAGCTTGTCGATAATTATAAAAAGCAAAACTTTATAATACTCTCATAGTGTGTTTAAAATTTTAAGGATAACATATGGTTACGTAATCTTACGGATTCTGTTAATACACATTAATATGAAACGAAATAGCATGTATAATTGTAGATGAAATAAACAACTTAATATGTCATCTAATTGGCGGAGTATCTAATGGTGTCAAATGTATACTTATATTATAGTTCAATATACAACGTAAATGTAATTTAGAATAAATACAAGCTACTGGCCATTATAAAATTCATTCAATTTCGAACTCCGTTGTTGTCGTAAAGAAAAGTATGTACTAATCAATGGCCAAGACCATTGAGAGAATGACCATGGACGAATTAAGTAAAACTTTGAAATGTCAGCAACATATTTTCAATACTGCTTTTGTCAGCAACACCAGTACAAATTTCATTGAAGAAATAAAAAAAGAATACATGTTTACTAGAGAATTAACCCATTTTTTTCTGATTAGACGGAGTGGCTGATACAGGAGGGATACGGGGGAGCCATGTTATGGGATCTATCATTGGACGATTTTTCACAGAACATCAATACGTCACAAACCTCTTTCCCATTACTCTCAGAGATCACGGAAACAATTGTTTCCGCCGAATTCCAACCGTCTTCATCATTACCAACATCTACTACAACCACACCAAGTAGTACTACTACAACACCAAGTAGTACTACCACCACACCAAGTAGTACAACAACCACACCAAGTAGTACTACTACAACACCAAGTAGTACTACTACCACACCAAGTAGTACTACCACCACACCAAGTAGTACAACAACCACACCAAGTAGTACTACCACCACACCAAGTAGTACTACTACAACACCAAGTAGTACTACCACCACACCAAGTAGTACTACCACCACAACCAGTAGTACTACTACAACACCAAGTAGTACTACCACCACACCAAGTAGTACAACAACCACACCAAGTAGTACTACCACCACACCAAGTAGTACTACCACCACACCAAGTAGTACTACCACCACACCAAGTAGTACAACAACCACAACAAGTAGTACTACCACCACACCAAGTAGTACAACAACCACACCAAGTAGTACTACTACAACACCAAGTAGTACTACCACCACACCAAGTAGTACAACAACCACACCAAGTAGTACTACCACCACACCAAGTAGTACTACTACAACACCAAGTAGTACTACCACCACACCAAGTAGTACTACCACCACAACAAGTAGCACTACCACCACACCAAGTAGTACGACAACCACACCAAGTAGTACTACCACCACACCAAGTAGTACTACCACCACACCAAGTAGTACAACAACCACACCAAGTAGTACTACCACCACACCAAGTAGTACTACCACCACACCAAGTAGTACTACCACCACACCAAGTAGTACAACAACCACACCAAGTAGTACTACCACCACACCAAGTAGCACTACCACCACACCAAGTAGTACAACAACCACACCAAGTAGTACGACAACCACACCAAGTAGTACTACCACCACACCAAGTAGTACTACCACCACACCAAGTAGTACAACAACCACACCAAGTAGTACTACCACCACACCAAGTAGTACAACAACCACACCAAGTAGTACTACCACCACACCAAGTAGTACTACCACCACACCAAGTAGTACAACAACCACACCAAGTAGTACTACTACAACACCAAGTAGTACGACAACCACACCAAGTAGTACGACAACCACACCAAGTAGTACAACAACCACACCAAGTAGTACTACTACCACCACACCAAGTAGTACAACAACCACACCAAGTAGTACTACCACCACACCAAGTAGTACAACAACCACACCAAGTAGTACTACACACCACACCAAGTAGTACTACACACACCACACCAAGTAGTACCACACAACAACCACACCAAGTAGTACTACTACACACCAAGTAGTACAACAACCACACCAAGTAGTACCACTACCACACCAAGTAGTACAACAACCACACCAAGTAGTACTACACACCACACCAAGTAGTACTACACCACACCAAGTAGTAGTACAACACCACACCAAAGTAGTACTACTACAACAACCACACCAGTAGTACTAGTACAACAACCACACCAAGTAGTACTACTACCACACCAAGTAGTACTACAACCACACCAAGTAGTACACCACACCAAGTAGTACACAACACACACTACACCACACCAAGTAGTACTACACACCACACCAAGTAGTACAACCACACCAAGTAGTACAACAACCACACCAAGTAGTACTACCACCACACCAAGTAGTACAACAACCACACAAGTAGTACTACTACCACACCAAGTAGTACAACAACCACACCAAGTAGTACTACCAACCACACCAAGTAGTACCACCACACAACCACACTACGACACCACACCAAGTAGTACTACAACCACACCAAGTAGTACAACCACACCAAGTAGTACAACACACCACACCAAGTAGTACTACAACAACACCAAGTAGTCCAAGTAGTACTACAACCACACCAAGTAGTACTACTACAACACCAAGTAGTACAACAACCACACCAAGTAGTACTACTACAACACCAAGTAGTACAACAACCACACCAAGTAGTACTACTACAACACCAAGTAGTACTACAACCACACCAAGTAGTACTACAACCACACCAAGTAGTACTACTACCACACCAAGTAGTACAACAACCACACCAAGTAGTACTACCACCACACCAAGTAGTACTACCACCACACCAAGTAGTACAACAACCACACCAAGTAGTACTACCACCACACCAAGTAGTACAACAACCACACCAAGTAGTACAACAACCACACCAAGTAGTACTACCACCACACCAAGTAGTACAACGACCACACCAAGTAGTACAACAACCACACCAAGTAGTACCACCACACCAAGTAGTACAACCACACCACACCAAGTAGTACTACAACCACACCAAGTAGTACAACACCAAGTAGTACAACAACCACACCAAGTAGTACTACTACCACACCAAGTAGTACAAGTAGTACTACAACCACACCAAGTAGTACTACAACCACACCAAGTAGTACTACTACCACACCAAGTTGTACCACAACCACACCAAGTAGTACTACAACCACACCAAGTAGTACAACACACCAAGTAGTACACACCAAGTACTACAACCACACCAAGTAGTACTACAACCACACCAAGTAGTACTACCACCACACCAAGTAGTACAACAACCACACCAAGTAGTACTACCACCACACCAAGTAGTACAACAACCACACCAAGTAGTACTACTACAACACCAAGTAGTACAACAACCACACCAAGTAGTACTACTACAACACCAAGTAGTACAACAACCACACCAACCACACCAAGTAGTACTACAACCACACCAAGTACAACCACACCAAGTAGTACAACTACCACACCAAGTAGTACTACTACAACACCAAGTAGTACAACAACCACACCAAGTAGTACAACAACCACACGTAGTACTACTACAACACCAAGTAGTACAACAACCACACCAAGTAGTACAACAACCACACCAAGTAGTACTACCACCACACCAAGTAGTACAACAACCACACCAAGTAGTACTACTACAACACCAAGTAGTACAACAACCACACCAAGTAGTACAACAACCACACCAAGTAGTACAACAACCACACCAAGTAGTACAACAACCACACCAAGTAGTACAACAACCACACCAAGTAGTACTACTACAACACCAAGTAGTACAACAACCACACCAAGTAGTACTACTACAACACCAAGTAGTACAACAACCACACCAAGTAGTACTACCACCACACCAAGTAGTACAACAACCACACCAAGTAGTACTACAACCACACCAAGTAGTACTACTACAACACCAAGTAGTACAACAACCACACCAAGTAGTACGACAACCACACCAAGTAGTACAACAACCACACCAAGTAGTACTACCACCACACCAAGTAGTACAACAACCACACCAAGTAGTACTACTACAACACCAAGTAGTACAACAACCACACCAAGTAGTACTACTACAACACCAAGTAGTACTACAACCACACCAAGTAGTACGACAACCACACCAAGTAGTACGACAACCACACCAAGTAGTACAACAACCACACCAAGTAGTACTACCACCACACCAAGTAGTACGACAACAACACCAAGTAGTACAACAACCACACCAAGTAGTAACAACACACCAAGTAGTACTACAACCACACCAAGTAGTACTACAACCACACCAAGTAGTACAACCACACCAAGTAGTACAACAACCACACCAAGTAGTACAACAACCACAAGTAGTACTAACAACCACACCAAGTAGTACCACACCAAGTAGTACTACACACCACACCAAGTAGTACTACAACCACACCAAGTAGTACTACAACCACACCAAGAAGTAGTAGTACTACTACAAACACACCAAGTAGTACTACTACAACACCAAGTAGTACGACAACCACACCAAGTAGTACTACTACAACACCAAGTAGTACAACAACCACACCAAGTAGTACTACAACCACACAAGTAGTACAACCACACCAAGTAGTACAACACACCACACCAAGTAGTACTACAACCTCTCCAAGTATTTCTACTTCTTCACCAAGTTGTACGTCAACCACACCAAGTAGTACGACAACCACACCAAGTAGTACAACAACCACACCAAGTAGTACTACAACCACACCAAGTAGTACGACAACCACACCAAGTAGTACGACAACCACACCAAGTAGTACGACAACAACACCAAGTAGTACGACAACCACACCAAGTAGTACAACAACCACACCAAGTAGTACTACTACAACCACACCAAGTAGTACTACCACCACACCAAGTAGTACAACAACCACACCAAGTAGTACAACAACCACACCAAGTAGTACTACCACCACACCAAGTAGTACAACAACCACACCAAGTAGTACTACAACCACACCAAGTAGTACTACAACCACACCAAGTAGTACTACCACCACACCAAGTAGTACTACAACCACACCAAGTAGTACTACTACCACACCAAGTAGTACTACAACCACACCAAGTAGTACAACAACCACACCAAGTAGTACGACAACCACACCAAGTAGTACAACAACCACACCAAGTAGTACAACAACCACACCAAGTAGTACAACAACCACACCAAGTAGTACTACTACAACACCAAGTAGTACGACAACCACACCAAGTAGTACTACAACCACACCAAGTAGTACAACAACCACACCAAGTAGTACGACAACCACACCAAGTAGTACTACTACAACACCAAGTAGTACTACTACAACACCAAGTAGTACAACAACCACACCAAGTAGTACAACAACCACACCAAGTAGTACAACAACCACACCAAGTAGTACAACAACCACACCAAGTAGTACTACCACCACACCAAGTAGTACGACAACCACACCAAGTAGTACGACAACCACACCAAGTAGTACAACAACCACACCAAGTAGTACTACCACCACACCAAGTAGTACAACAACCACACCAAGTAGTACGACAACCACACCAAGTAGTACAACAACCACACCAAGTAGTACTACAACCACACCAAGTAGTACTACCACCACACCAAGTAGTACAACAACCACACCAAGTAGTA